CCGTGCCCACGCGGGAAAGAGCAGCTTGCGAAGCCTGGAAGTCGGACCATGGTAGTCGCTGGTGGGCGACTTCGCCTCTATGGCCTACCCCCACAAAAACGAGCGGTCCCCGTCCTGTGTGACATGCCCACTTCGGGAGTCTGCTTGGGCACCCCTCGGGCAAGACCATATGGCTATGGCAAAGGGAGGGGGAAAGATGTAGAACCATGGAGACACGAGACATATAGATGGCCGGCCACAGCTTAACGAAGTCTTGTTCGTGATAGCCCCTGCACTACTTTCTTACTCGTTGACGTTTCCTAACAAGCCACAGCCGCTATCTAGACATGTGAAGCCAGTCTGCAAGCCGAGACTCTCCAAATGCACCTCTATCGGCTGGTCCTGGCCGCCTTCAACAGCACCGTTGAGTAAACATATTAATGCAGCGATTAAGAGACATACTGGTAGGATTCCTGATCTACTAGGACGCTTACACTTCGCGATTGGATGTTGATAGGGGGAGGCACGCGTGGGTTGACGTGGAATCCTTGACACAGTGTTGATACATGCAGACAAGTTCAGATTACTTACATATAGCATCACAGCGAGTTTGAAGAAAAAAAAACATGGGTTCCAATGTCCGAGTCGACGGCCGTCTACATCATGCTGACATACCTAGCGTTTTAGCTCGCTAACGTACTATGAATGGGGCGCCTTGGGAGATAGGTACACAGGTCGTGGTTTGGTCAACGGTCTATCACTAACCGGAGGATGATCAGAACCCTCCGCTTTGCAAGGATAGCGAACACGAACTCACCTGCTATCATCCGAATGGAGCTTAGAATTCTAAGTGGAATCGAATGGCATCAATTGAGAGCCCAGCAGAAATTTGTGCTCGGAGAAGAATCCGTCGTACTAATCAGACGTTCCTCCTGGAGGTCCTGTCACAAAGGGAAATTCATGAACTCGGACTTGCCGTAATGACAGGAGTCAAAGACAAGCAAGTCAACATAACGCGTTCAGATTATTCCACCTACCTCACGGCCGTGCATCAACGCCAGTATATTCGATCGAGAGTGAATGGGGGATTGGCTCGCTCAAACAGAAAATCATCATACATACGAAGCGATAAGTACCCCGCACGGCGATCAACAGCACGAACATCAGGATGTTTCATACAGGCGGCTCTACTTCTAGTTCAGTATCACTGCTATCCAGATTCACCGTATTGCTTGTCGACGATAAAAGTGCGACCGGCCGTCCGAACACTGCAGCTTCTTGTACCTCCAGATCACTTTCATCGTCAGAACGCGGAAGATGCACGGAGCCATCAGGTTGCGATTGATCGGCGGTCTTCTTGTTCTGCAGTAACGTTGGACCAGGAACATCAGGGCGTTTGACGCAGGAACTCTTCTTCCCTCGTCTTGGACCCAAATCTATGTCCCTTCGGGAGACTTGTGAAGCTGCCAGCGCGTCAAGCTTTGGAACAATGTTTCAGTTTGGACGCCAACTCATAGGGACGTCATCTCACCTTGCTCTTCACGACCGAGCTAGTCGAACTCTTGCCTTCCTTCGCGGACGGGTCAAAGCCGAGCTGCCTTATTAGTTGGGCAGAATACGCAGTCTTTCGCATCGTCTTTGCGTCGTCGCCATCTTCGTCTTGCTCACCAGTCTCAGAATCGGAGTCAGACATGGCGCGAGAGGCATCCAACCGGCTCTTCTCCTTCGCTGCAGGCGCCTTGCCCTTCCTCGCCTTGCTGGCTAGCTTCTTGCCGAACTCTCGCGCAGAGGCAAGTGCCCTCGACCCCTCCTTGTCCCGTTTCAAGAGCTGCTGAAGAGCGCGATCAGTATCCTTAGCTAATGCCTTGCGAGAAGCCTTCGCTTGTGCGTCGCGTCCCATAGACTCGGAAAGGAACAACGATTTGGCATCATTATTGCCCGAGATGATATGCCCTGAGACAACATATGTTGCACCACCGCCGCCGTCGTTCTCTGACGGTT